CTAATATGAAAAAATATATATAATCACTGACCTCAAAGAACTTGACACAAACAGTGTGGTTAAAATTATATTTGAAGATGTTTAAAGGATTTCTCTGTGGAAGTAGAATTGCTGAAAAAGAAAGACACCAAAGAAATTCTTATATATTCTTTAGTTTTACCCATTGGATGGCCCAAGCATTATTAGCCTACAGTTTGCTCACATCCTTCTTTCTCTCTTCCAAGTGTGCTGTGGTCTTTAGTTAAAAACCAGTGAAAGTTGGTCACTTACACTTAAATGTACAAATAATGTAACCAGAGACTGCTGATGAAGCATAAATAATGGCTTAGTGGGGTTTCCATCTGTAGAGTAGCTTCAAGAAGCATTTTTAGAGACCACTTGCTTACTTTTTATCACATCAGTGTTAAATGTTTGAATATGCCCCAAACAGTCCTAATATTTTGTTCTTGAAATTAGCAACTTTTCTTTTTAGACTGACTTCTACAACACTGTTCCTGGCCTGATGATGATGATGATGATGCTTTTTACTTTTTCTTTGAGTCCGCTATTACTTCTTTCAGCCTTTAAGCTCTTCATTTCTTATAGAGAGCTAAGAATAACAGTGCATCGTGCACTGTCTTTAAAAAAATTCCTTCTCCTATGTTACAGCATTTGATCTTTTATGAAATGCCTAAGAGGTAAAAATAAGAGGTAGGATTCTTCCCATTTCACTGATGTGGAAATTAAGCCAGTGAGAAATTACTTCAAATCACAATGTTAGTAGAATATAGTTTCTGACCCATTGGGTAACAAAGAATTGGAAAAGGCTCACAGGATCACTTCATACAGGCTTCTTTCTTAAGCCTTTCTCTCATCGCCCTGGGAAGTGCCCATCACTCACGGGGATGGCTCTGTGTTCAGTGACGAGCAGCTGGCTCTTCTGGGGGCGGCCAAGGTTGTTAAACCCTTCTGAGCAACACAACTCATGAATCAAAAATTTATTTATTTATTTATTTTTACACCTCCTCACAGGTACTGGAGTTCTGCCTTCTCTCCAGACATGTACTTCTGTATATCCGTGTGGTATATTAGAAATATGTATTTGGTCATTTTCCAGTTTCCTGGTATAGAGCTCCTAAAACCTCTAGAATTTCTTAAGTGATAAAAATGTGTTTTGTATGCTAATGAGATGACTCAGGCAGGTGGGGGTGGGGGGAGGAGGAACCTAGATAGCTCCCAGATGGGAGTCTGGTCACCAGAGGCAACAAGCATGTGATTAGAGGGTTAGAATTATCAGCCTACCCTCTGACCTCCAGGGAGAGGGGAAAGGGGCTGGAGATAGAGTTGAGTCACCAGTGACGGCTGATTTGATGTCATGCTGTGTCATGAAGCTTCAGGAAGAACTCTGAAACAATGAGGCTGAGGAGGCTGGGGTATATTCATAGAAGCCATGGGAACTCTTTACCATCTCCCCACCCCCATTCTTTGTTGTATGCATAGCTTCCCTTTGGCTGTTCCTGAATTGCATCCTTTATAATAAAACTGTAATAGCAGGTATAGTGCTTTCCTGAGTTCTGGAAAACATTAAATGATGGAAAATAAGTGGGGGGAGGGGCATGGAAACCCCTGACTCTGTAACCAGTTAGTCAAAAGTGTGGGTTATGGGTGGTCCCTGGGTCTTGTGATTGTCTTCTGAAGTGAGTCTCGTGGGGCTGAGGCCTTAAACTCCATGGGCTCTGCATTAACTCCAGGTACTTAGTGTCAGAATTGAAGTGGAAGACTACCCAATTGGTGTCCGCGAATCGGAGAATTGATAGGTATCGGAACGTTGTATTGGGTGTCAGAAAAAAAAAAAATCCAACTGTGTTCCTTCCCAGTATTTGCCTTGTGCTTTTTGTTACATTGGAGTCCCTTGAACTTTTATTTGTCCTTTCTGTAGATATTTCCCAAATATGATGTGTATGTATAATAAATTGGATTAGTGGACTAACAGTATTTTAAGCATGTGGTTTTGTTCCACGGTGTATTAACACATTAAGTTTCATTTAAAAAATAAGGTAGCATGTCTATCTGTCATCCAGCCATCCGTCCAGAATGCTTACATCTAGTCCCCTGAGTCTGGCCATATGTGGATTACTTACAGTTGGACGAGGCAAGATTATACAAAAAGACAGTCATTGTGTGAAAGCCACATCTATGTACTTAAACACTGTTATAGATAGGTAGCAGTTGTAAAAGTAAAATGTATTCTGTAGAGCAAAACAGTTAAAAATTAAGTCTGGAATTTAATTGCCTGAGGTCGAATTCTGACCTCACTACTTTTAGTTTAACTTTTACTCAACTCTACTTTTGTTATCTGTAAAATGGGATAATAGCAATATCTATTTCATGATTATCTTGTGAGGATTTTAAAAATTAATGGAAGATCCAGGGCGCCTGGGTGGCTCAGTCGGTTAAGCGTTGGCCTTCGGTTCAGGTCATGATCCCAGGGTCCTGGGATCGAGCCCTACGTTGGGCTCCCTGCTCAGCAGGGGAGTCTACTTCTCCCTCTGCCTCTGCATTTCTCTCTCTCTCTCTCTCTCATAAATAAATAAATCTTTGAAAATATTAATGGAAGATGCTGAAGACAGGACCTCAGGATACTTGGTACATTCTAGCCACTGCTACTGTTATCCCTACTGCTACCATTACGACTTTCACTAATATTATCCTAATAGGCTTGTTTTGAACCTGATTTACAGCATAAAGTGGCTGTACAGCTTATAAACTCTTCTGAGCACATATTCACTCAAAATGATTTTATGTGTTTTTGAACTTGTATTTATTTAATGAGAAGTTTCACAGTTTCAGGAAGTATAAAAGTGAACCACCTGTAAGATTTCTTAAATGATAGAGGAAATGCTAATGAAATATTAGACACGAGATCAAATAGACTAGGAGAGCAAAGGGAATCTCTTGTAGTGCAGATAGAGAACTTTGAAAGAAACAAACAAAAAAATTGGAAATGAGAAGAGTAAATGAAACACCCCAGGCCTAATTAAATAGATGTCTTGGTTGTGAATAATTGACAAACAGACTTAAAACTGAAAGAGCATAGCATAGGAACCATGTGTTACCGTCATGAGCAAAGTACAGCGAGATTTGGGCACTTGAGTTAAGTAAATTGAAATAATTAATGCACTAAATGCTGATAGAAATATTTTATGTACTCTTTTTGTGTGTGTTATTGTCTTAAATGTAAGGCTGACAGGGAAAACATGAGTAGCACAAAATTAATGATAAAATATGCACCTAATATAACTTCAGAATGGCTTCACTACAGTGGGAGCCGGAGGTTAAAATATCATCACTCTGGGCGCTGACAACTACTATATGCGGCTCTCTGAAAAGTTCATTCGTTGGCCTCGTTGAACATTGGCGCCTGGGTGGCTCAGTCAGCTAAGCATCTGACTCTTGATTTCGTCTCAGGTCATGGTCTCGGGAGTCCTGAGATTAGGCTCCCTGCTCAGCAGGGAGTCTGCTTCTCTGCTCTTCCCCCTGCCCTCTGCTCATGCATGTGTGCATGCACGCTCTCTCTCAAAAAAAAAAAAAAAATTGTATCTGAAAATTAGCCTGCTAATTGATTTTACAACAAAATATGTTAAGGTTTTATTAACAGCTATTTATGTTAGAATAGCAAATGTTATTTTGTATACAGCTAGTTTAAAAAACAAAACTCCATGTTCTTACGCAACATTGTTTTTCATGCTTCCCTTCTATTCCATTTTATTGAACCAAGACTGTAAATATATATATATATATATATATATATATATATATATTTAACTCAGTCCCATTTTATTGGGCCATTAGGTTGCTTTCAAAGGTATTCCCACTCTTACAGTTGAAACCTGACTTGTATCCATTCCTCAGGATTAATTGGAAGCCTAAACGTGGTAGTGTACTTAGAATTAGTATATGCATTTTTAAACATTATTTCATATAGTTCTCAGTAGTGGGAAGTAAAAGAAAAAAAGTTTTAGCCAAAATTCATCTGAACCCCAAATTTGGTTTGGGTCACTATATCTTTATATATTGTTAATTTTTTTTCCTTGATGTCATCTAAAATTATGCATAGATTTTAGGAAGTGATTCTTCAACGTCCTGCTGGGTGACCAGTACATTCTGATAGGGCCTTAGTGCCCTCTCTACCATTTGTTCCTTCATGTGCATTGTGAGAGAAACTCCCCGTGAAGGAAGGGAAACTGTTATTAGATAATAAACACAGATTGTGCTCAGGGTACCAGTAAAGAAAATGTGACATTTGTTCCACATATTGCTTAAGTAGCTTCTGATACCTTTTCATTCCTGTTATAGATTAGCTTGGACAATAGAACACTCTTTTCCCTGCCTTTTCCACATACTCATGGTTCCTCTTGAGAGATCATGATTTTGAAAAATGTTAAAATGATGTTAAAAGGGGTTTAATGTTTAAGAGTCTCTATTTGCTCCTCTTTTTCTGAATAGACTGATTATCTTGTAGTGTAGAGGTCAAGGGCTCTAATTTTAAACAAAACTATTAAATGTGGTTTGTTTGGGCACCTGGGTGGCTCAGTCGTTAAGCGTCTGCCTTCGGCTCAGGTCATGATCCCAGGGTCCTGGGATCGAGTCCCACATCGGGCTCCCTGCTCGGCAGGAAGCCTGCTTCTCCCTCTCCCACTCCCCCTGCTTGTGTTCCTGCTCTCGCTGTCTCTCTCTCTGTCAAATAAATAAAAAAAAAAATTAAAAAAAAATTAAAAAAAAAATAAATGTGGTTTGTTCATGTGAGCATTTCCTAATTTCATCTTATGTTTTTTTAAAATATGAAATTTCCTTTAGTTTTGCATTTGAAAATCTAAAGGTTTAAAAAAAATTAGTGAAATTTATCTTCAGTAGAATTTTACTTTATTATTGTAAGGTTTTGCACAAATGTTCCTAGAATGTTTTACCTTTTATATATTATAATTTTGTCCTTTCAAGGCATTTAATATACTTTCTTTTAGTCTCTGTAGAAACGCTGGAAAAGAACTTGAAGCAGATGGGAAGGCAGCTTCAACAGCTTGAGAAAGATTTGGAAACCTTTCCCCCTCCTGAGGACTTGCATGATAAGTTTGTGACAAAGATGTCCATATCCTTCTGATCTCTAAATAACTTACGTCACTAGTCAACTAGAGTTGTAATTTATTTAATGTTGTAGGTTTATTTGCATAACCAGTGGTTATTCTGTAGTGCCAAAGAGCAGCTTAACTTTTGCCTTCTTGTGGGGAAATCTATCACTGTGTTTACCTATCATGAACAATACAGAAATGTATTCTGCTTTCAATTCTTTTTTTTTTTTAATATCTATTTGGATATTTTCTCTCATCTTTTCCCTTCCATTTGCCCTGTTTCCTTCTGATGTTCATGGTTAATTGAAAGGATGTGAAAACTCAGTTTGAGGAAGTTTGAATCATGATGTGATTTAGATACTTTTGAAATGTTTCAGGAAGGAAACAAAGATTTTATAAACTGGTATGACTAGTCAGCTTAATTTCAAGGGTTGGTATAAAAAATTATGTTCCAGAAACTTTAATATTTCCTTTAGAAATACTGCCTGATTCCAAAATCAAAATGGAATTTGTCATGATCACTACTTGTATAGGTCTTCTCCAAACCCAAAATAAAATCTGTGTGTGTGTGTGTGTGTGTGTGTCAATGAGACTTGTGTCCTGCTTAATTTAAGCTTTCTTTTGAATTCGATTATCTTTGGCTTCACTAACTTTGTGGTTTAATCTCTAATGAGTAATTGAAGTAATAAATTTTTTTTTAATTTCCTGAAATGAATGTTGAGTTGTGTTGCAAACCATTGTGTGAGATTAGAGACTGATATCTTTTGTGTTATAATAAAGTATTACTACTATGCATTATTAAAATCCCATATGGACCTCAGAATTTTATATGAAAGGATAACCCACTTCCAATGAACTCTTATAAATAGACACTCCTAATATTTTAAACTGAGATAATTGAAATAAAGTAACTATTTTTCCTCTTTCCATATCTGCTCCCCTGAGATTTAGCAAATCACAAAATTATTATTTGGTTTGTCATAGAGTTTATTGTATATGCTTTCAGCTTAATTGTGAATTAGTTCAATTTTTAACTTTCTTCATTGTCTCTTTTGGGAAATACCATAAAAATGCACTCCAGCAACAATCAATTCAGGCTAATGTGTTTCCTTTCATATCTTCCCTACCCCTTCAGTTTCTTCTTTTATTAGGTAGGGCACCATTATCACTACATTTGAGAAGGTTTGTTTGGTATTTTTTGTTGTTTTGTTTTTAAACTAAAGGTGAAATCTGTATTTACCTATCCAAAGAATACTTTCGCAGCACCTTCTCATTTGGCAAAGTATGCTTTTTAAAACTAAATTTGTTATTGCTGAGTTACATTAGCTTCATTATCCTTAGTTTTTTTTCCCCCTCAATCATTTTATCATGTTAAAATATTCACATGTGACAGTTTATTTCAATCATTAAGCACCGTTAATTGAAGTACTTTCATTGTTCCCTATAGAGAGACTGCATTTTAGAAAAGGGTTTGCTTGCATACAGTTTCTGGTAATACACTGTGAGTGTACTAATTAGGAGGCTCAGGTTTCTGGAACCTATAACCTAAGATAAATTCCTGAGCTTGGCGTGAAGGTGGTAGAATCCTGCTCAGCAGACGATCCCAGGACCTATCCATACTTGTATTCATATGAAACAAGAAGCTGAATGATGTCGGCTTCTTGAAAGGTATGCAGCTCATAAAAAGCAACCAGCAGGAAATCAGAAACAGGAAGGATGATGCTTTGTTGGAAACAATTTTTCATTCTGAGTACAATTATACTCCATGGACAAGAAGGCTACTACATCCTCTGTCACTAAATATCACAACCTAGAAGCCTCTAATGAACTGATTAGCATTCATGTATCTCTTGGAAGTCAGATATATGAACAGTTGGTGCACTTTGCTATCGACAAAGCTTATAATCATAAATATTCTTTGCTGAGATTAGATTGTACTCGTTTGCTTTTCATCTTGGTTAGACATACTAGTTTCGAAGTAATTAAATTCATTCATTGCAGAGCTTTGTTTACTTTAATTAGGACTGACAACAAGTCACATTTTGAATATTAAATGGATTTATATAGATCTTATTAAAATGGCAAATTGTGAGCTTCTTATCAGATCTTAGAAAATGAAAGAATTCGGAAACTAAAACACACAATGAATAAAAATGTATTTAACTGAAGTTTGGGTTATTAACGCTCAAACTTTATGTTTTAAGTTTTGGTGCTCATTAGTTGAAACACATGTCAAATTGTTTGGTTCATCAGCCAATTCTGGAAGAACATGTGTATTATCTAACTTGTTAGGGATACATTTTTACAAGTAGATATTTAAACAGTCATGATTTAGTAACTTAATCCGTTAATTGAATTGTTTTAAATTATAATGATAGAATTTTGTTATATGAAATTTCACTATTAGCATTCAATTATAGTATATTGTAATTCTTCCAGTGCATGCTTTTTATTTACATATACTACTGAGTATAAAAATATGAATTTAGTACATCCGTTAAAATAGCATGTACAATTATTTCATATATTCACATTGACTTTTTAGTAGTAATTATGTTACTTTCCAGTTGCTAAGCCTGGGACAGAAATATAATTGGAGTTGACTATTTCCACTGTAAATATTTGCTTGAAAAATGTGGGACACAAATTTGAGGCAGGTCCATCAGCATAGTTACATGTAAACTATTACATGTGAAGTATCCACATTTAGCTCTTATACATGAGAAAATTAGGAAAATGCCAGGACTTGTGTCATGTAGTGCCTGTTCGTTTTTTTTGAACTTTAGATTCTAGAATACTAGAATTTTAAGGAAAATAACAAATAGATCCTAGAGCATTGCCCTTGAAGTTCTTCTTGCCCAGGATTTACCTTTTCTTTTCCTACTCCATCTCCTGAGTTTCTTAGAATAAAATCATTTTGCCAGACATTTATATATTTTTGTATTTGTCACAACTTACGTTACAATCACTTGGCTTTTTCCCATGTTATAGTCTTTAAATTTCTTCACTGCAATCCTACTTTATTTTCATACTTTTTTTTCTTGTTCTCGTATGTAACAATGTGTTAGGCACTTCTGAAATTATTATGTAGATGCTAAAACTATTCCAGTTAATTCCTTGAAAGACTTAGGGCTTATATCTGTATTCCACACTGCGTAAAACACAGCATCTTTTGGATAAAGGAATTCAGTACATTTCTATTTAATTGAACAGTGGTTAGAAAGTAAAATAGACGAATGGGATCTGTGAAACATAATATGTATAATATGTGTCCATTTGCAAGAGCGGGAGTTTGGGTAATTGGGTGATTTGTAGTAGCAGATTTTTCTCTTCAATTCCTCTCTTCCCTCCCCTCCCCTTCCCTCCCCTTCCCTTCCTCATCTTCCATTTACATTCTTAACAAAGTGTTAGAACTCGGATTAAAATATCCTTCTCCTCATCCAAGTTGGTAATGAACTTTTCCTTCCCTGAGGTCTCACTGTGCTACAGGTGCAGCACTTGGTGCTCACAGCTCTTTTATAGTTACACTCTAGTTGTTCCAGGCAATGTCACCTTAGCCACAGCTTCCCCAACAACCCATCGTAAACTAGCCTCTCTCAGTCTGTATAATATCACACACTTTTATTTTCATCATCATACTTTTCTCTCTCTCTCATGCATTTACTTCTTTTCTCTGCCCCACTCTCCAGAATGTATGTTTCATGAAAGCAGGGACTCTGCCTACCTCGTTAACTAGTGTTTTCTCTATTGCCCAGAAGAGTGGAATGCAGTGGAGCTTAGTGAATACTTACCGAATGGCTGGCTGGCTGCCTGGCTAGCTGGATCCTGAGTACTTAAGAAGATCTATAAAAGGTATTAGACATAGAGGACGGATTGAAGCTGGTCCTTATAAGATGTGTTAAGGGAAGTACTAGATATCCTTGTTGGGGGAAGCACAATAATCAGGGCAGGACATGAGACTGAATGTGAAATGTATTTGTGCTGGGTGGTTTCACCATCTCTTAATGAGAGAATAGCCCATCAGTAATGATGTAGAGTGCCTCATTAATCTAACCATTTATTCTGTCCTATCAGACAATCATTTTAAACTGAAAATTAATTTGACTATTTCCAAAATTGTTTCTGTTCAATCACAATTTTACCATTCTTGTGGATAATTCCAGTTATTCAAAGCTCCACTTCATTCCTTTGGGAGCAAATTGTTTCATAGATAACAATGATAAGAAAATTAACTTAGAAAGCTTTCTAGCTGTTAAAACAAGACCATGTCATTTCCATGGTTTTGGCTCTTGGTTTTCTTTCCTATCACATCTTTTTAGTTTATATAGAATTGTAGTATTTTTATTAAGAATGTTCAGGCGGGCACCTGGGTGGCTCAGTCAGTTAAGCGACTGACTCTTGATTTTGGCTCAGGTCATGATCTGATCTCTTGTCAGATTGAGTCCTGTGTTGGGCTCTGTGCTTGGTGTGGAGCCTGCTTAAGATTCTCTTTCTTGGGGCACCTGGGTGGAGTAGTCAGTTAAGCACCTGACTCTTGCTTTCAGCTCAGGCCTGATCTCAGGGTCATGAGATGGAGCCCTGCATCGGGCACCACACTCAGTGGGGAGTCTGCTTGAGTTTCTCTGTCCCTCTCCCTCTGCCCCTGCACGCCCCCCTCAAATAAATAAATAAATCTTCAAAAAAAAAAAAAAATCTCCCTCCCTCCCTCGCCCCCACCTCCCATGTGCTTTCCTCTCTTGCTCTGTCTTCAAAAAAAAAAGTGCTCAGGATATTTCTAATATTTTATTAACTTGTGATTACTCCCTGAAAATCTTAAGAAGTGTTATTGGATAATACTTAGTTTTATTTCAACCTGTTGACCAAATTGATTCTTTTTTTAAAATATTTTATTTATTTGAGAAAAAGCGTGCACAAGCCGGGGGGTGGGCAGGGGGAGAAGCAGCAGTGGGAGAAGGAGAAGCAAGCAACCCACTGAGCAGGGAGCCTGATATGGGGCTCGATCCCAGGGCCCTGGGATCATGACCTGAGCTGAAGGCAAAGTTGCTTAACCAACTGAGCCACCCAGGCGCCCCAACCAAATTGATTCTTGAGAATGGGCATATTCCCAGGTATTAGGATAAAATTGCTAATATTTGTGAAGTGCCTGTTATTAAAATGCAAAGCCTTACCATGCAGTGAGGGGGAAGAAAAGGAGTAGCTTTAGGACCGTACAATTAGAAACACCCCCTAAAGTAGTATACTTAGGGTGTTGTCCAGCACGCCTACTTTTCAGGGACTCTATTAACCCTTAGCATTACATCCCAAATGTATGTGTGTGAATGCGTAGATGTGAAATTTTTTGAATGGAAGTTCCATGGCTTTCATCGCACTTTTGAGGGGGGCTGTTAACCCTTGCCACCAAAGTTTAAGAATGATGGCACACTAGGGGAAAATGAATAATTGGCACCAATGTAGTGGCAGGCGAGTATACTTAATGCAGCCGCCAAGCAGATGGAACAGGGCATCTACAGAAGAGGCTGACCGTCAGAGGTGACCATCCTCTAGAAATGTAGCAGGAGCAAAGCACGAGTAGGGAATTGGACTAGAAGGAAAAACTCTGTTGCAGCAGACTACAATGGATTACAAATACTGTGGTCAGTGGAACGAATTTATAGCCGTAGAGATGAGAGAAGGCGGCTTTGTGGAAGAGGAAGAATTGAAGGAAGCTTTGAATGATAGGTTTGGACAAGCAAAGGCAGAAAACAGTTTCTCTTTTAGACAGGAGTTGAGGATATATAGGGCGCCTGGGTGGCTCAGTTGGTTAAGCGACTGCCTTCGGCTCAGGTCATGATCCTGGAGTCCCTGGATCGAGTCCCGCATTGGGCTCTCTGCTCGGCAGGGAGTCTGCTTCGTCCTCTGACCCTATCCCCTCTCATGTGTTCTCTCTCTCTCAAATAAATAAATAAAATCTTTAAAAAAAAAAAAAAGAGTTGAGGATATATAAATAATCCATATGCATATAGTCTGTATCTGGGACATAAATAATTTTAGGTGAGAGTTATAGATTGAATAAATAGGCCAGTGTTGATTTCTGACCTTACTATATAAATGAAGGAATGATTATTTCACATTACAAATGAATCACCATATGGTCCATTTAATGTTAGTTCCTGAATGTGTTTCAAATGTGGTTTATTTAATTTACATAAATTCACTTTATAATATTTCATGAATATGGATATTTCCTAAGACAAAGTGATTGGAAATCTGTCCCGTGTGGCTGTATTGTTACAATTTCTTACGATTTTGTGATTTGAGTAATTATAGAAAATCTTTTGTTATTTAAGCATTAAGAAATGATACCACACATAAATTCATCAACCACTCATCAACCACTGCTGCTATTCTGATCTAGATTCTAGAAAATATAAGGAAGCATTTTGCTATTCAGTTGATAGCCACAGAAAGATCTATAGATTTTCTTAAGGTTGTTAAAAAATATCAACTCTTGCATTAGAATCCAGACTTCCTACGTTCTAGTTTGTTCTTTTTTTTCCTAAAATACTATATATAAAAGTAAGAAGAGCATTGTATGGCGGGGAAAAGAAGGAGAAAAAGGAACTAGCATAGAAGGGTAGTAAGTGATCTGTGGTCTGACCCTAGACATGGGTACAAGTGAGCTGTGATTGACTGGGATGCCTTTCCTTTTGGGGAGCTTGGGTTCCAATTGGTAGAAATTTTCCATGCCCCTTGGATTTCACCACCCATCTGGCAGCAAGGCTGCCTCTTTCTCTCTCAAAATAAAGGGCCCAGATCAGTTTCCTTATTTTATCTTCCACTGGAGGATACCCTGATCAGAGGAATCCTATCTTTTGAAATTGTGGAAAATCTTTCCTTTAGGTTATAAACATTCCATGTTTGGTTTTCTTTTCTTGGTCTGAATCTAGTTATTCTTATTACTGACTTTTTAAAAAATTATACTAATATGTTTATTTTCTTACATTAGAGACAGTAAGATGGCTTTGATAAGCTTAATTCTATGTGTTCCGTTTCTTTAAAAGTCCCAGTTTAAAGGAGCCATAGAGGATTGTGAATGATACTCTTAGCAGTCATCTTTTTAGAATGAGGTATGGTATATCTAACCGCATTAGTGATTTGTCACACTACAAAGGAAATGCTATGGTTTAAAAAATGTTTTCTAATGCCATCACTATGTTCTCACTATTAGTCTTCTGAAAATCAGTGTGCTTTGAATTGTGTTGTCATAATAAATGAGAAAAGAACATTTCTGTATGTGAAGGTTTATGTGCCAGATCATAATTTTAAAACATGCAATGCATAGAATATATGTACCAATTTTCCAAAGGGAAGTTAAAACATGAAGTTACATAATATTTGAAGTTTCTAGTGTAACTCTTAATTTATTTTGGATTGATCTTAGAAACTTAAAGCTTAAAATGAGTAAGTGGGCAATAAAAATACTAAGTGATTACATTTACTACTAAGTGCTATTCATTTCTCTAAGAACTTTGCATTATTAACTCACTTAGTCCTCGCAACAGCCCTGTAAAATGGGTGGTATTCTCATTCCCATTTTACAGATGAGGAAATTGTAGCACAGAGAGAATAAGGCACTGCCCACAGCCATCTACCTCCAGGTGTAGGAGCCTGAAATTGACCCTAGTCATCCAACTTAACCTGTATGTTCAGTGCCCATGTAGTTGATTTCAGTATCGTCGAAATTACTCAATTTTAGCTACTGAGCTATAATTTAAATCATACTGCATGATCTGAATAACATAGATCCGCAAATTGGAAGTAGAATTTCGTTAAACTCAATTGTAAAAGAAAAATATTAAATAAATATTTAGCTTTTCTGATAACTGTGACAGTTAAGAAATTGAATTTAAGATTTCACCACTGTACAGGATAGATTTAGTTATAAGAACAGTGAACTGTTAGAGGTAGTTTTGGCACTTTGGACTCACGGGTTTGTTTATTTTTTCTAAAACATTGTAAGTTTCTGAATCCCTTAACTATAACATACAGCTTTGTTATCAGTGCAAAAGAACAATACGAGAAACTTTTTAAGTTACATGAAAATATGGAGAAGTCATACCAGAATATGATGGGATACTACGCCATTGATGTGAAGAAGATGTCTGTGGAAGACTTTTTAAATGACTTGAATAACTTCAGAACCACATTCATGGTATGTTAAAAATTTTAATTTGTTTTTTGAAAAGGTGTCTGTGTCTATACTATCGCATCGATTATTACTTTAATCTCATTACTTTATTACACTCTTGTTGTCTGTAGTAAAATAAAATCTACTTTCCCGATGTTGAAAGTTAGCTTTAAAAATTTCAAATTTTAATACTATTGAAAAATGTGCGGTTTGTGCTCTTTTTGGCCTTCCCAACATTAAGCTGTAATCAGAAATTTTGATTGAAAATGTGACAAATTCTAAAATTTTTCATAAAGACTCCCCTCCTGGCCAATTATAGAACACTTTTGTAATCTGTTTTTGGCTATGAATTTGTTTCTTTATACTTAAGCTCAATTTGTATTTTTGTGGTATAATTTTACCAAATTCCATGAAGCTTTTATGAAGCCTTTTTTTCCCCCCTTTTCTTTTCTTAATGCATTGTACAATAAGCTACCTGTGACTTGCCTTTGAATGGATTTTACATTCCTAGGGTTTCCTTTAGATACTTTAATAGGGAGGTCAGGTCTTTGATGTGGAATCCTTTCATTTAGGCATTAAAAAGATCTTTTGAAAAGTATTAGCTGATTAGATGAGGAAAAAAACCACACACATATTAAAGTGAGAAAGCATTTTTGCCTCCCTGGGGAAACTGGTGATACATTTCTGCAACAAAAAATTATGTTATTCTTAATAGATGGGTAAGTCATTTCTCTATTTCAGCAAATGTTTGTAGGGATTAAAAAGTTTCGAAGGGTAAAGAAAAAAGCTTGAATTTTAAAGAAGTGGTTCTTTTTACTCTCAGGAAAAATTTAGTGCTGAATTTATTGGACTTGGTTATAATCACTTGGTTATGAGATAGTCCTTTAATAAAAACTCAGTATTTTAAAGGAAAACTAGTCTGTAATAAATACACATTTGCTCATAGCTTTAGTTTTTTCCCTTCGCAAATTCAAGATGATTCTTTAGTTTTTCACTACCAGAAGTGGAAGAAGTGGATTTGATTGATAAATATATGCCTATATCTGTGATATATTGTACAGTATATTTAACTTTTATATCTTACGAGGCAACATGGCTTAGTGGAAGTAGCATAGGTTTTGGAGTCTGGGAGAACTAGGTTTGGACTCCATACTAGTTATGTGACTGTGAACTGCTGTAACCTTCCTGAGCCTCAGTTCCCAAATAAATAGAAATACTCGTTCCTTTCTCATAAGAGTGTTTATTAAACCAGCTAATATATATTAAGTATTTATCACAGCTCCTTGCACATGGTAGTTGTTTAATAAATCAGTGTGCAGTGAAGGATTAACTTAATAGTCTTGAGGTATTTCAACCCTGCATATTTCAAAGAAAATACTAGCCCTCCATTGGCTCCTGGGAGATCACCTGTAAGCCCGTGGAATATGCTGTCTCATAAGGATGTTTTTTTTATGCCTGGGGCCTTGGACCAAACTATAGATAGGTTTTGCTAGAATTGTGACTTATGGTGAGTACCTGTTCTTGTTCACCTGAAGCCCTGGAGTGCACTGTTCAGTTTCTCCTCTATAGGAGGCTAGAGACTAAGTAGCTAAGGTTGTCCATGTGGAAGGTCCATGCCTATGTGACTGACCTTCCCAATAAAAACTCTTGACACCAAGGCATGGGAGAGTTCCCTTGGTTGGCAGTACTTCATATGTATTGTCACACATCATTGCTAGAATAATGAAACTCCTCTGGGAGAAGTCAGTGGTGATTTTAATCTGTGCCCTTTCACTGTAATAAACTGTAACCATGAGTACAAGAGCTTTTCTGGGTTCTGAGTCCTTCCATCAAATTATCAAACTGGTGGGTGGTCTTGGGGACCCTTAACACAATTATGCATAAAAGTATAAAATAGATATATGAAATAATAACACCTATCATATAATGAGTGTTCCGTGAACCAGATAGTCTTTCAAATGCCTTATGTATGTTATCTCAGTCAATCTTCATAATAGTTTTCCAACTATCACTGTTACCATCCCTCTGTGGCACAAAGATGGAGTGTATCTGGCTTAATTTCATTAGGCTATAAAATGGTAGAACTAGGATTTGAGCCCATACAGGCTTCCTCCAAGAGCCTGTACAATTAAATGCTATGTAGTGCTCCTTCTCACATTTTATAGCTTGTGTTCTATTTTACAAATAAGATCACTGGCATAGGAAGGGTTTTCTAATGAAACCAAGGCTGTACTTTTTTTAAGCATTTAGATCGACATTTGAATCAAGTCTAATTCCCAATTTTCCTAAGATCTGGTAGGATTGGAGGGCTTTGGGCATTCTGGGGGTAACTTGGTCATTGTATTACTAAGTGGTGGGCAGAGGGAGAAAGTGTTTGACTGGAGAAGCATTCAAAAGAGGGGGGTAATAGAGTGACAGCTACACTTTGTCTATTTCAGAGTTCACATGGGTCCTAGAAGTAGAAGCTGTCACACACACATATGCACATTGTACTGAATTAACCTCATTAGAGCTAAATATAAAAAATATATTTTATTTAAATGAATAATTTGGAGAGGAAATTTTCTTTTGGGTAAAAATAGACACAAAGAAGACTGTAAGGGAAGTGGCTATATCAAGGTAGTGAAATTTGGCACACAAATTTTATTCTTTCTTCCTTTCTGGTAAATATGGTTATGCTGCTTGAATTTTAGACAGTGTATGTTTAAAAAGATGACAGTGTCAATATTGGCAAAAATTTTTGACAAATGTTTTGTTTTGTCAAATTCTCCTGATCTCTTATGTTGCTATTTAATTCCACACTATTCAACTTTGAAAATCCAGTTAACCTCACTGAATCAGTGTGAAAATTTTAGCAACAGATGTAGAACTTTAATGTGTTGAAAGTCTGTTCTGGAAAGGCATATCAATACAATCTCTTTTTGAGAAAATCCTGGTGAGATATGTTTATATTGTTATTTCATCCACTGGTATTTAGGAATACTCCTGGTCATGAATGAGCAAATTTTACCATTAAAGTGGAGATCCATTTTGTATTATTAAACATGGAGTTGGAACCACTGTCCTCATTCCATACCTACCCCCACTCCCCGCCCCCAAAACTATGGCTGTTTTCCATGGAATGTTCTCTCCCAAGTTCAGATCATTCTACTTATGGTTCCCTATGCCTGGAGCATTCTGTCCGTATTTTGCCCTGCAAAATTACTATACTCACCCTTCTGCTCTCTGCTGAGACTTCACTTCATCTGTTAAGACCTGTGACTATCTTGCTTACCTTTGTTTCTCTAGTGTAATTCATGGCATTTATCTATTACTCAACAAATAGACAAATTTGTTGGGTAATAGATAGTCTCATCTACAATGGGGGCCAGGATTTAATAGCTAATACATATAGTGCTAGCAAGTGCCAGGTGCCCTATTCATTCATTTAACCCTAACAATAACCAGATGTGGTATCCATACTGTTGTTACTCTGATTTTACAGATGAGAAAGCTGAGGCTTAGAGAGATTGTGACGTGCCAGCAATTGACGGAGCTGAGGGGCTAACCCGGGGAGTCTTGTACCAGTCTATGCAGCATATGGCTGAACTCTATTAATTCCTATTAAATATGGCAATTACATTTAAATGGCTAACAGGACTAATCTGAAACTTAATACCTCCCCAAAGTACAAATGTGGCTCCTTTTATTTTTAGTAGTGATTGGTTTGTGAATAATGTATCCAAAAATATTTATATTTTAGAATTGCCCCAGAATTTACTCTTAAGCAATTAAAGCCTGGCTCATTTCTATTTAAAACCCTTTACTATACCTTTTACCAACCCATGTAATCTCTTACCAGAGTCACTAAGATCTTTTAACTACTTTGTTTAGATGTAGCTGTTCAGGTTCTTTTATTTATTTATTTTTTTCCTTTCCTTTCTGAGAGCCCCTACACAATAGCTAAAGGAATATCTGTTCTAGACTGCTGCCTCAAGCCGTGTAGACCAAGGGAGAAAAGTTCCACAATCACGTAACTTTGAGGAGCACCTGCTCATTGTGCAGCTTACCTCACCTCCTTTCGACTTGGAGATTCTCAAGCGGCAATTAATATGTTGTTTTAATGATCTACTCTAGGTAGATAGTTTCTATTTAGAACTACTGATCAATTTCCAAGAGATAAGGAGTAAGTTTTCATTGTCATCTTATTTAGCTTTATTTTTATTACCATCTTCAACAAGATGAATCCAGAAACATCTGCTACCAGTTAAGTGCCTGCTTCTTGCTAGACTCCACACTAGATGCTTTACACGTGTCCTCCAACTTTGTCTTCCCAGTGTTCTCGTGAGGGACAGAATGTCACCTGTGCAGTAACTGTGGGGTAGAGAATCTCAGTGCCTTTGCAGAAGGCTTCAGAATTGGTAGGGGCTAGGATTTGAATGGAAGCCTGCCTGACTCCAAAGCCTGTACTTTCGAAAAATATTTCCAAGTAGACTGGTGCTCAGAGAGTTTGGGAGAATTGTTAAAATGTGATTTTTAAGGGCATTTTTGATAACTTACTAGAAGGAATCCGCACAAGACCTACTTTATTTCTTCACTCCTTGATAGAATAACTTTCTGTCTACATTGATGTGTTCATGGTAGAAGAATGTATGCTGGTCTGGTTCTATTTCAAAGCATCAGATGTTCTCTTTTAAAATGAGAGGATTATTAATGTACCCCAAGGCTGGGGTGAGGGTGGGTAAAGAGTCAGCACCTTTCTGTAATAGATCTTTGTTTCCTGTAGGACTCATGGGAACCATGGAGTTCAAATTGGAGATACTAGGTGGGAATACTTGACCCCACACTGTAGGCTGAGTACATCAGTGTCCTCCCAGGCATTAGGCTTCATCAAGTGAAGTTCATGCCTTCACCTGTATAGTGTTGTAGAACGATAATCATCGTTTTCCACTCGTGATTGGTTTTAGGCACATTGTTTCATGCCATTAACAATGTACCCATTACTCACAGAGGTGATGCTTCTACTGGATGAATTGAGCCCATTA